AGGCGGCTGATCGATGTTTCTCTCTCATCGATGTTTCTGACTCTCTATCTCTCTCCCTTCCTCGCTGTGCTTAATCGATAAAAAATATATTAAAAAAAAAAGAAAAAAAAAATTAGGGTTTGTTAATCATTTAAAACTTTGTTCTCAATGTTATTAAAGTTTTTTTCTTTGAGTTAATCTTTGACTCTTTTTCTAACTTTTTGTTTCTATAGCTTAGCTCATTTTTCAACCATTCATGCTTTCTAGTGAATTAGTTTAAAAGTCAACATTTCACTAAATGCAACTCTAGATGTGACTTACAAATTTTGATATGAAGCTTTTTATTCTTTTGAGTACCTTGTATTTCATAACTTCTTTTTGCTGTTTTCACTAAAAATTATTTAGTATATTTTATTCTGTTTCTACATTTATGGAATTTTAGGCTGTTTATTAGTTTCTATATTACTGCATTTTGTTCTGATCTATGTAATATAGTTTGATTTTTTATTGAGTCTTTCTGTGCTATGAAAAAAGTATTTTTCTTGTTTATGAGGGGAGATGTTCATATAGATGTCTAAAGGGTTAAGCTTACACATATCTATGTTTTTCAAATCCTAGTGATAATAAGTGTTTTGCTTTTCAGATTAACTTATCAGTTGCTGAGAGATTTGTGTTAAAATCTTAACTAATAATTGTTAACATTAATTTTTCTCTGTAGTTCTAACCATTTTTGCTTTTTATCCTATATAATAAAAGCCTAAAATGCTAAGTATCTGGTCATCCGGTCGGCTGTTCAACCAATCAAAGCATGATATGCTAATGATATGCTAAGGTCGCTCCACTGTTCACTATGACATGCACTGACTACCAGGGTGCAGATGCTCCGACTGGTAGGTTAGCTTGCTGCTGGGTTCTAGTTGATCGGGAATGAACAAGACTGGCCGGACAAACCCTGGAGCCTTCCTACAGTCCTTCCCTGGCTGGCCAACCTCCATGTCCCTCTCCAGCCTCAATCTTGCACAGGTGGGGTCCCTCTGGCCTGAACCCTCTTGCAATCTGGGACCCCTTGGGGGATGTTGGAGAGCTGGTTTCGGCCTGATCCCACAGGCCAGGCTGAGGGACTCCACTGGTGCATGAATTCATGCACCGGGCCTCTAGTTTATTATAATATGTCATTAATTGTGTATTGAGATATTAAAATATCATCACAGCTCTCTCTTGTTTCAGCTCTAAACTTTCTGTGGATCCTGATTTTACCTAACTTTAAACATTTATCTTTTCAACTTATTAATAATCCATTTCTATTTATTGTATTACTGTTGTATCAAAATCCATTTCTTTTTTTAGTTTTCAATGGATAGGCCATGTTTTTTTTTCCATTGCTTTAAATTATATGCATTGTTTTACATTTCTTTAACAAGATATATAACTCAGTTTTTATTAATATGTGACCCTTTTAAAAGTTATGAGGCCTTTTATAACTTAAGATAACCACATATGTAACATAAAATAATTATATTTACACTATAGGGTCAGTGTACAGATTGAATTTGCCACATATTTAAAATTTCTGGCACAGAGAAACCCTTCAATAATGTCCAATTCAATTCTGATTATGCATCCATGACAGTGCATAAACAGGGCATTATATATTGACAACTTTTAGGAAGAGAATTTATGTGAGATTTTTAGGAGCAGTGCAATTGAATACTTCATTTAAATGTAAATATACCTGCTGTGATATGCCAACACTTTCATCTAGGATGGGCATATTGCCAGTTTCCTCTTCCAAAATAACCTGACCACTGTCCACTAGTGCACTTCCAGGTCTACCTTTATAGGATCTCTGGCTTCCCTGGGAACTTTTCTTCTTAGCATACAGTTCTTGATCTTTCTTGGATGGAGTATGAAGTAAAAGAATTTGCTTGCTAGCTGGATAGAAAAAATATTATGCTTAAGTTAAAATATGTGAAATGCACAGTTATCACTGACTGTATTATTTAGTTATTTCCCTTTATAAGACATTCAAAAGGAAAGTCAATTTGTTTTGTTTTAATGAGATAAAAACCAACTGGCTTCTTGGAAATATTCTGGTCTTACAGAAACTTACTATAACAGTATTTGACTTGCATAGAGCAATGCATCTTCTGAGCAACCGCTGACTGCTGAAAGAATACACAGCAGTTCAATGACTACTCGTTCATTCTGTGCCACTCCAGTGACACCAATACCACACAATATGACAGCTTCAGTATTTTATAGTAAGTGTGTATATGTTATCACACCTTTTAAAAGCTTTAATTTTAATTTCTACATTCATTATTTTGTAATTAACAATGAGTACACTGGGAGGGATAAAAAATGTGCAGAATATCATTTATTAATTCATTAAATGTGTATCGAGGGAACATAAGTGAAGAACATAGAGGTATTCCAATTTTAGCCAGGACATAATAATGGGCATTGGAGTATCCTCATACCATAAAAATGATAAAATTGGAAAAAATATATAAATCAACTGCTTGCAGTCACTGGGCAATAGACTATCCAGCACTGCTCCTTCAGAGAAGGGAAACATACAAGATGATGGCTCCACTTCCCCAGATTTCTGCCTGTGAGAACCTTCTGATCTGCACAGGGAAGGAGAGTCCGGACAGGGAGCATCAGTGTTGTTATGTTCAGGAAGCAAAGATTGGAGTTTGTGAGACAGGGTGCCAAAGGTGGTACCTGAGAAGCAAAGGAGCTGAGAATTATGCCTAGGGATCCACCGGAGTTTTTAGCTGAATTCTAAACTTCATTTATACAAACACCTAACTGTGTTTGGCAAGCAAATTACTTTATGAGTCTCATGGAGATGCTTAACGTTGTACAGGTGGATTTGGATGAAAAATTACAGATGTGAATTGAATACTGAAAATGACTCAAGGGATATTCAGGGATGAAGGACCAATGATGGGAGAGAAGGAGACATATTAAAAAAATGCACAAGAATCTGCTTAACTTGCAATTTTACCCAAGCTCGGCCTCACTAATACGGTATAATGCATGTTTTATAGTATGTAGAACTTTAGGCACTTCCCTGTATCTAAAGCACTACATTTGTGTGCTAATAGTGTCATCACAGTGTGGAGTCTTTTCAGTTCTCTGCTACTCCAAATTTTTATTCCTATTGGGAAGGCATATCCATGGGCTACCATGACAAAAAGGGGTACAACTGCAATAATATAAACCTTAATTTTTTTTAATAAAATAAAAATATACATAAATAAGTAAATACTTTTTTAAAACCAAGCTTACACTGGGAGCTCAGAACTTTTTCATTCCCCAAGAAGCTAAATACTGGGATTATAGCTTGGCCTTTCCCAGTGGCGCTAATGACAACTTCTTCACTCTCTAGAATCTGTAGCTTGATGAAGGCATCTGGCTTGGACACACGTACATGGATTGTAGCAAGGTGTGGTAATGCAGCTTTCACTGAATACCTATAAAGAAAGACACTCAATTTTTAAGCAACTGTATTGGTCTTTTCCTCAAATCAGTAAGGAAACTATAATTTGCTGATGTGATCATCTAAAAGAAAAACAACTTTGCAAAGTCAACCAAAATCCTGGAAATATTATAGTTATTGTACACTTGGGCAAAATTCCCAATAAGATCTGGTACAATTAAATATAGGACCTTTATTGTTCTTATTAAATCTTAAACAGAAAATGTAACTTTTTGTTTAGATGTGATAAGCATTCACTTATAAAACTTGACAGATCTGCAAACTAGTACCAAACTTGTCCAATACATCTTCCTTCTCTCCAGCTGGGCAAGGACCATGGCTGGCCAGAGCAGTAGGCCTCAGAGCTTTACTGTTAACAGTGCTTTCTGTGATTCTCAAAATACAGAGAAATCAAAAGTGGTATCCACCGCCTGCACTTTCAACCTTTACTGTGCAGGTTGGGAACCTCATGCGGAAAACTGGACCATTCAGTCAAACTCCATCCCAACTCCTCCCTTGAAGCAATTTAAGAGGTTTTTTGTTTGTGTTTGTTTTGTTTTGTTTGGGTGATG